TTATAAATAAATATATATAATAAAATAAATAATAATATATGGTTTGAATATGGAGTTAAATGACATGGCAGCTATTGAACAAAATCTGAAATTATTTTTCTAATAATATATTTTTATAAAATCAATTCATGAGATGTCTGTAATCTAAAGAGATGTGCCACCATTTTAGTTTTTCTTTTGGTCGCATCCCTCATCTGGCCCTAATCCTCTTCCGTATTAGGTCGAATGGCAAATATCCACCCGCAGACTAACTTCACTCCACTGTTTACCTAACATTTAGCTAACATTTAACACCAGAAAAACATCAAACAACTAGTGGCGTTTTTATATGTACAAAAGTGGTGGGGCACAAAAAACGTAGATGTCTATAAGCTTCTGCAGTGAGGTTCATGGCTGCTGAGGCTCTGACTCTTCAGGTTTACAAATATTATATTCTGACCTAAATCAAAATATCATATTATTTTCAAAAGCTTTTTTTGTCTGATGCTTCAATTAATTTTAAACAGACAGTTCAACAAAAGGATACCCAAAAAATGTAATTGTATCATTTAAATATTGAATTGTTCTCTCTTAGTAAGATCCCATTTTCAATAACATTGCGGTCTTACCTTGACATGAAGATGAAGTCCATTTGCCTATCCTTCTGGACAAACATCTCTATTACTTTTTTGTAAAAGTCCTCCTTATGTTCTTGTAGTTTCAAAAGTCTATCATAAATCTGATCTAATCAATAGATTTATGATTAGAAAATTATAAAAGTAGGGTAGACACGTGGATATTATCCGGCTGAACAAAACGTGCATTTATCAAACAGGTTTGTTTCCCACAGATCTTATTTTGAGCTATTTTCTAAAATCCTATGGAGAAATCTCATTGCTTTTCTGTGGAGGGAAGCCATGCGCAGCTTACTTCCTGGTTTTAGGACGAGTCTCTCTCCTCCTCTTCACACACCACACTTTTCGCGGCACACGTACTTACAGCCAATCAGCTCTGAATTATGTGAGATGACGTATAGTGGGGATGGCAGCACTATGCCCCTATGGTCATTATTTTTTTGCCACACACATTAAATAGGACAATACTCTGAGCATGCGCAGTGTAGTTTTTACAGTCACCATTGACTTAAACAGGGAGAGGGAGGGACAGGATCGAGTTTTGTCCCACATGGCTCAAAACAGCTCAATAGGCACACACTGTAGACACTAATTAGAAGAACACAGACTAAAACAGCAATGTACAGACGAATCAGATGAATAAACATGATCTTAAAATATATTTTTTAATTTATTTTTTGCATTTTTTTGTAATCATTACTTTTAATACTTTCTGCTGACACTAGGTGGGGCTGTGCCCCACCTGCCCCTAATGACCAGTGTTAACTGTGATGGTTATTCTCGCGTCCAGGAAAGAGAAGCTTAAAAAGGAGACTAAATGGAGTCTCTGAGATGTTTTCAAATTGGTACTTTAATTAATAAAAAGCGCGGTAAAGTCACAAACAGGATATTGTCCGACAGAAAAGCAGCTGTCTCTGGCCCTCGCTAGCAGAGAAAAGAGGCCGAACCGCTCAGGTGATGCTCTTATATAGCTTCTGCTGGCTCCTCCCTGCGGGCCGGCCCTCCACATCTTAATGTCCGTTGTTACGTTTAAACAGAGGATTCAGGCATTGTACATTCAATACATACTTAAACACGCCTCTTCTCCTCATATTGTCTTTCATCACTTTTCCTTTAACACATTCTAAACGTTGTAGTTAATATTCTAAAAAATACAGAAAATACTTCACGGCTGGTTTGGTTTCTGGTCATTCCGGATGTTGTCACATCTTACCCACGTCTGTAAACAATAACTTTATTCAAATAAACTATACCTTCATTTAATATTCAGCAATAATAATACGTCTATAGTTGCAGTGTTAAAATCAGTAGGTTTCGGTGTGCATCACTCCATGTCATTTCGCTACTAAATTAACCTCTATAAGAAATGGTAAACTAGCCACATGCTAACCGGAGATGAAGGATTTTCAGAATAAAAGCTTAACTGACTGTGCACAATAATTTCCTGATTTTTCAGTATAAAACAGCATTTAAACTGAAGGTACATTTAAGGTACATTATGCCATCAAAACATTGATTTTAATTTCTAACACCAGTCGCCACTGCAAACAACAAGCAAACAAATAAGCAAAAATACCAAAAAGGTCATGTTGTATAAAGACTGAAAGAAAGTGTATTTAGTTTACTCACAGTTTTCCTTTTCTTTGAAGAAGTTTACTGAAATCCTTGTTGAGTATTGTTCCTCTGAACTTGTTGCTAACACTAACGGCTAACTAACGGTTAACCAAAACATGGGCCGTTATTATTAAAACTACCGGCAAACTACATTCAACTTTAATATAAAACTCTCCCTGTTGTTTCTGGAGGTTCTCCTGGAGCTTTCCCCCGGTTATTTGACGGTGGCCACACCGGAGGGACTGGTATCAGTTTCTAATTATTAGCTTCACCTGCTAGCTTCACTTGGGGCTATTTGTTTGACAGGTACCGACCGTTAGAGTAGACGTTAGGTTTGACTGACGTTTACAATTACACAATCCAGAGGGCGCTGTTTCACCACTAAGAGATGAAACCTTCAAAAGTGGTGGTGAGGATGATGATACTAACAATAATCATTAGAAAAATAAGATAATAATAATAAAAATAATATTTATAATATGAAATGCATTTTTAATATATTTATTTCAAAAATAAAGAATAACAATTGTTTAAGCAAGAGAGGGTCAGTGTGTGTGTGTGTGTGTGTGTGTGTGTGTGTGTGTGTGTGTGAGAGAGAGATCAATTGAATATTCATTAATAACAAAGAACAAGTGGTCTGACTCAGACAATATGAGAGTGTGTGTGTGTGTGTGTGTGTGTGTGTGTGTGTGTGTGTGTGTGTGTGTGTGTGTGTGTGTGTGTGCATGTGTGTGTGAGAGGACAGATACAAGGACACACTCACATCCAAACAAACCCACTTCACTGTAATATATTTATTATAATAATATCTGTGTCTCTTTTGACCTTTTTAATCCTTTGCTCCCATCTGTTCTTCACTGTTTCCAGATTTTGTCATGTTTACTCGATGGGGCTATGATTATTCTTTTATTTCTGTATGCTGCAGTCTATCCATTTAGAATACCAACATATACATATATATATTAGGGTGGTCCTTAGTGCCATGTACATTTTCAAATTCATTTATTTTAAGCTCCAACCGGAATTCGTTATGATAGTCAAGAAAACTCTCCTGGTGAATTTTATTCAAACTCCAACGACATTTACCCCTCCCTCATCAACCTTGAAGTTTAGCCTCACGTAGGGTGGTCCTTCAAATTGAAAGTCGGAAAGTCTAAGCTCCAACCCCCAGAATTAATTATATTAGTCAAGAAGATATTGATTTTAATAAATGTAAAAAAGCTCTCCAGTGTTTATGACTTGAGAGCAAGTGGAAAAAACTTTTAAAAAAATATGAAATAATTAAAAACAATTGTTAATCATCAAGTAAAGCAACAAAGCCAAGGGTTAAAAATATATAAAATAAAAATATAAAATAATATTGTTAAAAATAATGTTTCTTTACAAGTGATTATAAGAATAAATAATACTTAAATAATAAGTTAACGTGAAAAAAACATTATTTTTCAATAATCAAATATAATAATATTTAAGAATTTAATAAAAAAATTCAATTCATTTGTTTAAGTTATTCACCTTTTGTGAAACAGGTGGAAAAAAGTTTCGGCAGGTGATTTTTCTTCAGTTTTAATAATGTTTCATCGAGCTGGGCTGCCACACAGCAGCTGCAACTGAGGCTACACTTCCAGCTCGATGAGGTGAAAACATTCACCAGGAGAGTTTTCTTGACTAATAGAATTAATTCTGGGGGTTGGAGCTCAGACTTTCCGACTTTCAATTTGAAAGACCACCCTAATATATATATGCAAACGAAGAAGTAGTAGTAAATCTGTAACATGTAAAAATCACCTGCCGAAACTTTTTTCCAACAAATTATTATTATTTTTTTTATTAAATTCTTAAATATTATTATATTTGATTATTGAAAAATAATAGTTATTTTTGATTTATTTATTTTCACGTTAATTTATTATTTATTCTTATTTATTTAAGTATTTTTTATTCTTATAATCACCTGTAAACAAACATTCTTTTTAACAATATTATTTTATATTTGAATTATTTTATTTTATATACTTTCAACCCTTGGCTTTTTCGCTTTACTTGATTATTAACAATTGTTTTTTTCCACTTGCTCTCAAGTCATAAACACTGGAGAGCTAAAATTAATATCTATATATAAATACATGTTAAAATCAATACATGAATAACTGTGAACATGTAAGCTTAATAATTATAAGCGACTCCGTTTGAAGATAAAATGTGTTTTTATTTAAATATCTCTAAATATATCAGGCACTATAGTTATCATCTGTTTATTAAAACATGGAGCTACCTGGGTCACACGGAGCTACCTGACGGAGCTATCTGGGTCACACGGAGCTACCTGACGGAGCTACCTGGGTCACATGGAGCTACCTGGCGGAGCTACCTGGGTCACACGGAGCTACCTGGGTCACACGGAGCTACCTGGGTCACACGGAGCTACCTGGGTCACACGGAGCTACCTGGGTCACACGGAGCTACCTGAAGGAGCTACCTGGGTCACATGGAGCTACCTGGGTAACATGGAGCTACCTGGGTCACATGGAGCTACCTGGGTCACACGGAGCTACCTGGGTCACACGGAGCTACCTGGGTCACATGGAGCTACCTGGGTCACACGGATCTACCTGAAGGAGCTACCTGGGTCACATGGAGCTACCTGGGTCACACGGAGCTACCTGGGTCACATGGAGCTACCTGGGTCACACGGAGCTACCTGGGTCACATGGAGCTACCTGGGTCACATGGAGCTACCTGGGTCACCTGGAGCTACCTGGGTCACACGGAGCTACCTGGGTCACACGGAGCTACCTGACGGAGCTACCTGGGTCACATGGAGCTACCTGGCGGAGCTACCTGGGTCACATGGAGCTACCTGGCGGAGCTACCTGGGTCACATGGAGCTACCTGGCGGAGCTACCTGGGTCACATGGAGCTACCTGGCGGAGCTACCTGGGTCACATGGAGCTACCTGGGTCACACGGAGCTACCTGGGTCACACGGAGCTACCTGGGTCACACGGAGCTACCTGACGGAGCTACCTGGGTCACACGGAGCTACCTGGGTCACACGGAGCTACCTGACGGAGCTACCTGGGTCACACGGAGCTACCTGGGTCACACGGAGCTACCTGGCGGAGCTACCTGGGTCACATGGAGCTACCTGGCGGAGCTACCTGGGTCACATGGAGCTACCTGGCGGAGCTACCTGGGTCACACGGAGCTACCTGGGTCACACGGAGCTACCTGGGTCACACGGAGCTACCTGGGTCACACGGAGGACGGACGACTCAACAGGACAACACATAGAAGAAAAGAGGAGTCTTAATATTAACACAGCAAATTAAATATTTAAAGTACATACATTTCATAAATCAGTTTACAATGAAACACAAATAAATCAGGAGAAAATCTCATTAAATACAAACATCTGTAAGAATATAATTTGCTGTTTTCGTGATAAAGAAGCGACGGACAGTGTTCACAGTTTAGCGTATGGCTTCAGATAGAAAACAGACGACGGCTCGTAAACACGAGATGCTACAGGAGGAGCTACGCTTTCTTTGGAGAATCAACACGGAGAACTCAGGGGCAATCAGGAAATACAAATGATGTTTTTTTAACTAAAATATTATGATTTGATGCCAAAAAAAAAGCAGGAAAATATATTTCGTTTTTGTTTCTGTGTTTTGCTTCCCATAGCAGTCACATCATATTTCATTTGTACCTTTATTTTTAAGTTATCTGTCTTTATAAGAGTGGGTGACATCTCTCAGAAAAACTATTGTAAATGTGAGTAAACATTAAAACATGAAATCATTATTTTAAATACAAAGATCTTTGGAAGTGTTGCCAAAATCTAAAAGAGTAAAAACTAAGAATTAGTTGCCCATTGTGCCTCAGGGAAAACACATCATTTCCATGCCTTTTAGATATTTTCTTATGAATTAAAATACAGTTTCTATGTGGATTTAAAAAAAAATGTAAACATGAAAATATGTCAAGGGGTCCATAAATATGATAGGAAAATTAGTAAAAATACTACAAATAATTCAACTGTAACTACCTGAGGAATAAATATGTCTGCCCGGTGTTTTTATTACATTTAATAATTCTTTAATGTTCAGTTTTGTGTAAATGAAAAATATTATTTTTAAAGATATAAATGTATATAAGGGTTCCACAAATCCAATAGAAAAATGATTAAAAATACTAATAATAATTCAGCTTCAACACCCTTTGTCTACACATTATGGCTTTTGGTTTAGAAAATCAAAGACGACATCAAATCAATTGTTTTTGTCACTGAAGTGTAACGAACAGGCAAGACAGATATTAAAATGCTGCAGAAGCTCGGCTGGTGAACCAGGAGGAACACAGATAACTGATCTGATCCTGAGGAGGAGAAATATGTTTTTTGTTTATTTTTATTTTTTTGGCAGCGACAACACTCGCCTTGTGTCTGTTGCTAGGCGACGTTGGGTAATTTTTAGCCTGCAGGACGGCGGCGGCGGTGGTGAGAAGATTTTTTAGACGTGAGGATGAAAAACTCCCTCTGATGGAGGATGAATCACGAGATCACATCTATTGTTAACAGCGCTGCGTGGCAGAGAGGTAATTTACTGTCAGCCTTTGAAAAGTTACGGCAGGATATCATATTATTTATCAAAGAGAACGGCCTTTTCTACATCTTTAGTTTCTATAACCTCCGAGCTGTGGATCTGCAAGGAGATGCTCACAAGGGTTGATGGTTTGTTAACGTTTAGTAACACGAGGTGCAATAAAGAAAATACAATGATTTAGTGTGAAGTTTTGCACCTTCCTTTGGTCATTCCTGCACAATACTACCAACGATTTCCCTTTAATCTACTGGCAATGGATCTATTTGCACATTTGGGAGAAGCTATAATATGATTGTTGGTTATATTTGAACTAACAAAGCAGAAAATCTAATTCTTCTGGACATGTTTGCACCACTATAAGTCTGCAAAGCTCTTTAAAATATACTTTGAGATTTACTGCATTGCAACCTGAATATATGAATTGTTTTATTTAGCGTTTTGTATCTGTAACCTTTGCTCTGTGTCCGCTGTGCGGCAGGTGGAAGGTCCTGTGGTTTCTCAAGAAGAGCAGCAGGAGTCTCATAAATACTTTATAAAGTTCAATTCATTTACCTTTTCCTCTTTTATCTAAATGCAGAACTGAAAAGTAACAGTGTAAGATTGAGGGTACTTTTTACCTGAAAACTTAAGGTACTTTTTAATATATGTTTACTTTGAATCTTAGTATTTTTACCTGCAATTTTAAGTAATCTTTAAAGTATTTTTAGCCACATTTTTGGTACTTTTTTAAGTATTTCTTAAAATATATTTTTCTTGTTCTGTGTTTTAATCTACTACTTAGCTCATTCATTTGATCACATTACTGTCGCTGAGGAAGTGACTTGTTAGTTACATTATTCATTCATTAATGATACCGTTAGTCTTTCTGCAAAACAAATGAACATGTGATAAAAAAATCAAATAGCAAATTATAAGCAAAAAAACGGCGAGTGAGAAAATAATACTTGCTTTTGTGTTGGAAGTAGAAATGGAAAAGGTAGCGGGGTCCGCTCAGAAATAAGTAAAACACATAATAAATTAAACAAAGTACGTTCTCCAAGAAAGACTGATGGAAGAAACCCTTAATGAAAGATTGCATTGAGTCTTTAAAGTAGAGCTGCAACTAACAATCATTTCATATTCTGCCAAATAAAACGTGAGAAATTGTAAAAAAAAACATCCATCCTAGTTTCTCAAAGTCCAGTATTAGGTTTCTAAATGTCTTGTTGTGTCTGTGATGATATATAACTCCATGTCTTCATATACGAGTGGCGTTTCTGGACATGTTTGCATGAAATGACATTATAGTTGTGTATTACTGGTCTGCGGTTGCAGCTCTACTTCTAGAGTTACAGGACGTCAGGACTTTGGCTCGCTATTTATTTACATTATGGCTACTGGGACTCGAAGGGAAAACTACATTTATAGAAGCGCTACATTAAAGTCACTTTTCCTGACATTGAATTCATCGTACCATCAGAGCAACAACGAGACTGCAGGCGTGAGTCCTAAACCCTCAGGGTCCAGCCAGGGGCGCCGCAAGGGGGTGAAGAGTTAGGACGATTCTAAGGGCCGTGACTGACAGGGGCCCCAACTATTTTAGAACATTAAGAAAGAAATGTTTAAGTAGCCAATGTGATATCTTTTCATGGGGCCCAAAATGCCTGGCGGCGCCCCTGGGTCCAGCACAGAACAACCACGTTATCCCTGCAGTAAGCGGATAACAAATGCTGATGACATCACAGAACTCAACAGCATCTTAAATCCAGAGGAACATCTTCTGCTGGTTTTCCCGTCATCTTCCTCTTCTCAGATTTCTTGGTTTCAATCCCATGATAAGTTAGCGTCGTCGTTAGCACGTTAGCTGTCTTCGCCCACCGGCTTTACAACTAAGCATCCTGATTTAAATTCAAAACAAACTTCCCGTTTTTTGTCTCAGTGTTCCCGATCTCGACGTCGCACCGGAACAGCGAACAGAGGCAGGGTTCGAGTCGGAGAAGAAGACGTTTCGGGGTCAGAGCTCGTTAGCGGGTCTTCGGCTTTGTGTCCGCGGCGCTCCGAGGACCCGGAGGCCGAGAGGTCCTGGCAGACCTCGTAGGAGAACTTCCTCTTCTGGAGCGCCTCGGCCCGGACGGCGAGGGATCGAGCGCAGACGGTCAGGAGCACGATGAGCGTGCCGAGCAGAAGAGAAACCATCGGCCACAGGACGCAGTGCAGCAGCACGCTGGTGTCGTGGGAACGCCGCCACAACACGTCGTCCGGCCTGAGAAACACAAGAAGAAGAAGATAAGAAGATGTCATTTTGTGTTTCTCTGTTGGTAACACACACGGGAGAAGTGAGTTGTTTGCTTGGGCGTTTCTCTTCCAGATTGTTATGGGTTTTTCCTCGTGCTAAACACTTCCACCAAATGTAATGAAAATCGGGATAGTAGTTTTTCCGTAATGCTGTTGACAAACTGTAAAGGGTAAAGGTATTCTGATTCCTAAATTTACTTTCTGACTATTTACAATGCTAATAATAAGCTAAGCTAATGGGGCATGAAGCTAACATTATATTATTGAAGTTAATCTACTGGCAGTCCTACAAATATCTTCCAGGGTGCAACGATAGCATTAGCATCACTAAGACACTAGCATCAGGATATTAGCTAACGGAGGAAACAGTTACTAACTCGTGTTCTTATCTGCACTTTTAACTTTTAGAGACAAACATCTCATTGTTTTCCAACGACAAGCTCTACGTCTTTGATTTAGGATTCAATTATGATTATGATAATAAGTCCATATAAAGTTTACCCAGTAGAAACCAAGTCGTGTGACACTAATACTACACATCTGCGTTCGGAGATGTGAAGATATATAACCTCATACATTTAGGATATAAACCAATAGATCAAGTGACTTTCTCCATCTCTGAGTGCTCCAGTTCTTCTTCCTATAAAACATATTTTAAACTCTGCATCTCCTTATTCATGAAGCAGCGTTTCCTCACGCTGGTCCTCGAGCTGCAGAGATACAAATACAACGAGCCAAGGTCACAGGTAAACACCGGCTGAAGCATTACGCTGACAAACCCTCTGTGTTTGTATTCAGTCCCTGTAGGGGCGAACGTAACCTAAATAGGACCACAAGATAAACGACTGTTGGTTTAAACATTGACCAAGACCTGCTGTTTTATATGACTGCTTTATTTGGGCGATCTCAATATACTCCAGGCATGTCTTGGGACACTTTAGTGACACTTTGCAGCAGAAACACTACAATATCCGTACAGATGGTCTAAAATTGGACCTATATCGACTTTTAAAATTGACAATAAGAGTCATTTCGTTGAGGTCAAAGGCCTCAGATGTAATCTCACACATCCCTCTGTTTCCATCTCCTCTGCATCACACCTGGAAATGGGTTTTTCTCTTTATTAGACGCTCAACTCTTCTGCTAGCATAGCAATATTAGCTAAAGAAGAACATTACTGTTACTGGCATCCGAGAAAGATTGGTGAGAAATGACACAAAATCACTAAGTTGACACAAAAAATTCAAAATTACATAAAAAGACACAAATAGACTACGAAAAGATACGAAATGACTAATAATAGACTCAAAATTACAAAAAAAGAAATAATTA